TTTACCTCAGCACCAGCACTGTCATCGTCTGCCAACAATATGTGGTTTTTTTTGGATGACAGCTACATTCATTACTGGATTCACAGCTAGCCTCTGCCATGACAAACCCTGTGATTACGATAGTTGGATCTATGCTGTAGTTCCCCTCTGCTCGACACTATAGCTGGATTCGACCAAAGATCTCACCCTGGAACAGTCCCTGGCGAACTGGGAAAGAGCTGGTCCAGCAGACAATTTTGGATTCAAAGATTGCAGCTCGTTGTGGAAGGCCAGAAACCTTGAGGCAAAAGTAGCTACTCCCATTTAGGGTCAGTTTGAGCTCAGTGACAAAATGTAGTGTGAAACCGCAAATGTCAGCAGTGCTGCGTTTGTGGACATTACAGACAAACAAGCCCACTGGTTCTACATCAGGCTCCAGGGTGTGACAGACAACACAGTGGCATTGAGCAAACCATAAATAATAAACTTACAAAAGCCTTCAAATGAAGGCAAAGCACAGTGGATTAAAGTGTCTGCAGCGCAATTGGGAGGTGGGGGAGGGGTTGATGGGCAGGTGATCCCTTAAGAAAATGGGACTGTGGGGCTCCAATTGCGCAGACTTTTTGATCTGAAGCGGCTTGACACCAATGGTGACATCCAACAGAGACATGAGGGCAAAATTATTTACAGAGATATCCTGAAAATTTTGGTGAGTGAGACAGGGCCAGAGACTGTCAGCTGAAAAATTGCCAGAAATAACAAAATGCTGACAAACTAGTGATTTCTTTGTATTGGCAGGTCTGTCTGCGGTCCAGTCACTGACAGGAGTGTTGATTTCAACTTTGCAAGTGGGTCACTCACCAAGGTTTTCAGGATATCGCAGTAACAGATGGAGGAATGAGCAGAGTGGGATTCGAACCCACGCCCCTCTCGAGACTACGACCTGAACGTAGCGCCTTGGACCGCTCGGCCATCTGCCCCCATCCTCACACATCCCCCTTTTAATAATAGCGTGCACTTAGCCGCTCATCAAGGCAGTGTATCCATGAAGGATAATGGATACCGAGAAGGAACTCAATCAGAGTCTTTCCCCAGTACAATATTTACACAATGGCAACTACAAGAATATTGTCCTGATTTCAAATAATGCAGCGGGGAAGGCTGGAATACAGCCTTCTTGGCTCAGTTGGCAGAGCGTCTCCCTAGTACCAGGAGTGAATATTGACGGCAGGAGAAGGTCACCAGTTCGATTCTGGTAGAAGGCATGGCTGGCAGGAAGTGGGCCTGTTCTATCCCTTTGTTGAGCCTTACTGCCAGGGAGCGCTTTCCGCGTTGATCTGCATTTCTGGGTTATTTTCCAATCAATCTGAAACCAGCCAGGAAGGAGGCTAAGGCTGGCTGGATTCAGACCAGATACTAAGAGCTCCGTATCCAAGAATACACACAGACATGGTGTTCTCATATCTGTTTAAAGACCCTGGATATCTGGTGGAGGGCGGATGTCTGGACTTTGTCAGCGGATTGGGCAGATATTTGGTCTTTTTTGCATATCAGTGACTGGGAATTATCTGTGAGGCAGATGTGGGCAGTAACCATATCTGTCCACCATATCCGCCAGAGGTTTGGAGCAGATCCGGCAGAGATCCGGCCGAGGTCCAGTCTCCACTTTCTCAGATGCCAGCCTTAAAGGAAGCTGTTCTCCAGCACTGCCCATTGATTGTGTGCATACTCCAGAACTGTGTTCACGTCATACCACTTGCACTTAATCAGGAAAGCTGTTTTGGTTTTTTTCTTTCTCCCCCCTTTCATTTACAGTGAGGCACAAATCTGCACCCAGCCTCTTTATAATTGTATGATGTTCCTAAGTGAGACACATTTGCCACAAGGCAAAGTCTCATCACGGTAGAAGAGTCAGGCATGCTAGCCTATTTGTTTACTTGGCTAAACTGGTTGTTGTCGTTCTTCCCACAAGATTTTGCAAACCCCACGAAGTGTTTGCACTGGTCACATGGTGTAGTTGGTTATCACGTCTGTCTAACACACAGACGGTCTCCAGTTCGAGTCTGGATGTGACCAAATTCTCCTCTTTCTTGTCCCAGCTCTACTGTCTGCTTGTGGTGTTTGTGCTGTTGGCAAAAGATGGATGCTGGGCTGGTGAAGGGGTTTTGTGTGGGTTTCAGTTCCCAAATCAGGAAGGTGACTCCAGAGCCCTAAAAAGGTATTGGACAGACAGTGTGTTGAGGGCAACAGGCCTACTGTGCGTCAGGCAATAATTCTACCACTGAATCCACTGTTGGGCAGTGCCTATGAATATGGCAAATACCCAGTGTTACTCTGTTGACTAGTATCTCGCCTTCTCCAATGCATTTTCCAGCAAGAACAGCAAAGTTGGTCAGTGTGCTCAGAGTGGACCACACCTGCAGCATTGCATGACTAGAACTTTGTTCCAAAAAGTTCCATTATATACACTCTGGTCTCTTTTTTCAAGAGCCCACCTGGTGGGGGGCAAATTCAAGGAGAGAAAGCCTGATCATTCCCAGGTGAGGCTCAAACATGACGCAACTCAGGTGTAATTGTGTCCTCCCCATGGCCAGAAAAAAGGGACAAATATTGCTGCTTTGTTTAAAGTGTTGCTGTGCACAGATTGTAATTGACACTGCGCAGAAAAACTGGGGGGTCTGTTGGTTTGTCCAGAAAAACTTTTCCCATTTTGTTTGAACAGCAATCCAAGCGTGACAGTTTTTGATGTGCTGCAAGGCAGCAAAGAATAAGTTAAAAAGTTTTCTTTTCTTTTTTGGTCGCGATCTTTGTCATGTCAGTCTCCTGCATTCCCAAATTGATTTTACATTTAGTTTTGCCCATAAAAACAGTCAAGAACAAGAAAAGGTCTCGCCTTAGAGGTTGAACCACTCTTGCCACTGCCACTTTTGATCATTTTAGCTATGAAACAAGCTCTGTCTGGAGGCTCTGCTCAGGCTGTTTTTTTTTTTTTTCTCTGCACGGAAACAGTCTGGAGCAAAACAGCAATACCAATTTATTGGATCAACTTGTACCCATCAAAGCAAATTGCAATGAAGCCCCTCGCATCATTTATTTGCTATGCTTCGACAAAGCAATCACTGCCCAGTGTAGTTAGAAAAACAAGAGAAAAATACCTGCTCAGTGTCACCTGCCTCTGTTTGGTGGCAGCACCACCAACCAGCCTCCCCTCGACACTCCAGACTGATTGTGGGAGTCTTCAAGGCCCCCACCATCACAATTTCCACTGTGGGGAGACCGTCAACCCAAATGTTGAGGCCGCACCCGGATTCGAACCGGGGTTCCCAGAATCAAAATCTGATGTGATAACCCCTACACTATGCAGCCATGCCCAGGGCAGCAAACCGTAAGGACCATGTTTGTGGACAAAACTTCGCATCAGATCCTCTTTCCAAAAAAAAAAAAAAAAAAAAGGAAAAGAAGAAAGCTTCCTTTTCTTCTTCATTTTGTTTCCTTCCAACATGCCCTTATGTTATTAGCACACAGAACTGAGTTCTGTTTGTTGCTGCCTGTTGTCCGCCATCACCTCGCTCCCCAGGCCTCGCACTGTATGGAGCGTCTAGCAGGCCACAAACCTCAGCGGTTTGGAAATGGCAGACCAGGCAGTGTTTAAACCTTCCACAACTTGAGGAGGGCAACCTACAGTGCCATTGTGCCAGTCTGTGCCACTGTTTTTCCAAATTAGATAACAAAACCCTTTGGGAAAGTTGCATTTTGAGGTCAAAGGATTGAATCAAATTGAATCACATAGGAAATGCAGTCTTAAGGATCAGAGTGAGTCCTTATCCTTTCCAAGGCGAGTTTTATGGAATGCAGGATATCTGGCAGTGGACAAGTCATGACAATCCATTGCACATAATTTCCATGGAGTGTGACATGAGTGGACTCCTTAGCTCAACGGTAGAGCATTCGACTCCAGATCGAAAGGTTGCGTGTTCAAATCACGTAGGGGTCATTTAAAGACCTACTACACAGTCCATATATTTATTATTGACAGTGTTTGAGTTACTCAGCTTGGTTTTGTGTGACAATCGAGAAAGATTTCCCCAACTGCAACAATGAGCCCTTCAGCCCCAGGGAGAGTAAGGCTGTCGTCCGCTTATCTCTATTGGGGTTTTTTTTTCCTTTTTTTATTTTATTTTATTATTTTCACTAACTCCACCAAAAAAATTTGTAAAATCCTGCCAAAGTTGGCATAAAATACACATTGGAGAACTCCATATTGTGTCCAAAATCCAAAGAAATTTGATTGAGAAAGTATCAGGAAAAGGCAAAGTATCCTAATTATCTGCTTGTTGTTGGATATTTCAGATGATCTTGAATATTTCTTGAGTTTTCCATAAAAACCATAAAATTTGTTGGGTTTTTACTGTAGACACACAATGTGGTATTTCAGTGCCCATTTTATGCCAACTTTGGCCAGATTTTACGATTTTTTGGCAGAGTTAGTACTGCAAAGAAACCAATTTATCTGAGATATGCAGACTGCAGCCTTTACAGGAGAGTGGAGACTTAGTTTGGGTGAGGCTGCCCTCTCTATTGGCACTGAGTCTTTGGGGCAACAGTTTGCAATCCTCTCATCAAATTTTGTCACAGTTGGATGCAGAATGTCAAGGTAGGAAACTGGATCAATAAACTAGCAGTCTTTTGACTTCTAGTACCACTGACCAGCGCCAGTTATGTTTCCAACAGGAATCTGGCCTCAGCTACTTGAAGGAGACCAAAAAGTGGGAAACAATTGCAACATAGAACACTGCCAAGCCCCAGTAGTTGTAAGAGTATTTGAGCTGTGGCCCCTGCTGAAGCCTTTCTCCTGGGCAATGAAGGTTCAACCACAGACAAGCATGGGGACTGCTGGCTGATGCAAACGAAGAGATTATCAGCAGTTGGCACCACCACGCAAATTGCGTCACACGTGGAGCGCATGTCAGTTGCAGGAGCTTGGAATGAACAAATGAGCATTCAGTGCTGAGTATAGTCCATCCGACCACCCAGGTTCGAACTGGGGACCTCATGATGGCACCAGGCAGAAAACCATTACAGTCATGCGCTCTTCCAACTGAGCTATGGACGGAGCTTGCAGATGGGCTGCAAACTGGTCCTCCGACTTGCAAGGTTATTGCACAAGTACCAGTGACAATACTCAGTGTCTGAAGGCAGTGCAGGAAAAGGTAAGGGGGAGGGCATGGGCCGTAGCAATTGGCCGTGCAGCTGGATATACGTTGAATGCCAAGAATGGTCATGCAGTTGACAACAAAGGTGTGTAGTTTAAGGTTTGGGGGCTCAGTTAGGTTAGGTCAAAAGGGTCCATTTCCTGATATAATCCTGAAAAAAAAAATCCAATTCAGAGGAACCAGTGGAGTGATAACATCACGGAATTGATTCAACGTTGCTAAGGGTGTCCATGCTGACTGTCAGGAACAGGGCAGGACAGGACAAGGCAGACAAGGAACTGAGAGGAGTGATGATTGTATTGGAAACAATAATTCACTTGAGGGATGGGACAGGTCCCCCATCCCCCTTTTATACCTTTTGAGAGTCTTCCTTGTCAAGACTCAAAGAAAGTTCCAGAAAGAGCAATTAGTAATACAATGATACCAATGATACCAATGACAACAAGACAAGTCAGGAAAGCAAAGAAGGTTCCAGAAGGTTCCACAAGGTTCCATGAAGGAATGTTCTAGAAGGTTCCAGAAGGTTCCAGAAGGTTCCATGAAGGAATGTTCTAGAAGGTTCCAGAGGTTTCCAGAGGGTGATTCATAACATCATCTCCCCCTTTTAGGCCTCTTCTGCAACTTGGTGGGGTACCTGGTCTTGAACTTGAGTAGAAGGTCTTGGCAGTGAGTGAGGTTTGACTCAGGTTCCCAGGTGTTGTCAGCATCTGAGTAACCCTTCCACTTAACAAGGAACTTGAGTGTCCTTCCAAACCACTTGGCATCTAAGATTTGTTCAACCTCAAATTCCTCTTCACCTTCTACCTCAACTGGAGGAGGAGGAACAACTCTGCCTGGAATGGAATTGGCCACAAACTTCTCCAAAAGGCTGACATGGAAAACTGGGTGGATCTTCATGGATGCAGGGAGATCCAGCTTGAAGGTGACTGGATTGATTTGCTCCAAGATCTTGAAAGGTCTCAACTTGAGGTTGTCTAGCTTGGGACTTGGTCTTTTGGACTGCAAGTTCTTCCTCATGCCTGGCCAGTAAAAGTCTCTGGAAACAAGCTCATATGTCTTGTGCTCTCCTGGGTGTCCAGCTGTTGCTGCATCATGCCTTGTCTTGAGTATCTCAAGTTTTTCCTCTTCTTGGCTGATTTGAATCTTGTGAGGCTTGGGGTACTTGGAAATAGCATGGGCCCACACACTGTCAGGAAGCAATGAAAGGTGTGTCTTGGATGGTGGGGTGAAACCATCTCCTCCTTCAGGTGCAAGGTCTGTTCTTCTTGACAGGGCATCAGCCACAGTGTTAAGGTGGCCAGGAGAATAGCACAGCTTAAAGTCATACTCAGAGAGCAGTTCAGCCCACCTGGCATGCCTCTGCTTGAGCAACCTCCTTGCCCTGAAGAAGGTGAGGTTCTTGTGATCAGAATAGACAGAGATGCCTTTAGAACCAGCCAAGTAGTGTCTCCAGAATTTGAATGCTTCCACAATTGCAAGCAACTCCTTGTCATGGACTGTGTAGTTACACTCAGCACTGTTCAGCTTCCTGGAGTAATATGCCACTGGATGCAGAGGAGCAGAGGGGTCCTGAGAGCTTGGCTGGGACAGAACAGCGCCAAGGGCATAGTCTGAGGCATCAGTTTCCAAGGTGAAGGGAAGCAAGGGATCCACATGCTTAAGGAGTGGTGCACTTGTGGTTGCTGTCTTAAGAGCTAGCCAGGCTTGCTCTGCTGCTGGGGTCCATTCAAACTTGGTGGTCTTCTTGGTGAGATCAGTGAGAGGCTTGGCTATGGCAGAATAGTTGGCAATGAAGGTTCTGTAGAAGTTGCAAAATCCAAGGAAGCTTTGAACATCCTTGATGGAATTTGGAGCCTTCCATTCAAGAATAGTTTGGATCTTGTCTGGTGCCATGGAGATCCCTTTGTCAGACACAATGAACCCCAAAAACTCAATGGAGGTCTTGTGGAATTCACACTTCTCCAGCTTTGCATAGAGGTGATGCTGTCTGAGTCTCTCCAAGACAGTCTTGACATGTCCCATATGGCTTGCAGTGTCAGATGAAAATACCAGGATATCATCCAGGTAGACAATGACAAAAAGGTCCAGAATATCCCTGAAGATGTCATTCATCATGCCTTGGAAAATAGCTGGAGCATTGGTAAGTCCAAAGGGCATAACCAAGTACTCAAAGTGACCGTATTTGCATCTGAAGGCAGTCTTCCATTGATCCTGGGGCTTAATTCTGACCAAATTGTAGGCACCTCTGAGGTCAATCTTGGAAAATATCCTTGCATGGCTCAGTTTGTCCAGTAATTCAGAGATGAGAGGCAGTGGATAGCGGTTCTTGACTGTCATCTCATTGAGATCTCTGTAGTCCACACAGGGTCTCAGTCCCCCATCCTTCTTCTTGACAAAAAAGATGGGAGCTCCAGCTGGTGACTTGGAAGGTTGGATGAATCCCTTGTTCAGCATTTCTTCAATGTATTCTTGGAGGGCCTTGGCTTCTGGTGGAGAGAGGTGGTACAGTGGCTTGAAAGGTGGGCTGCAAGTTTCATCCTTGAGTGGGATTTCACAGTCATAAGGCCTCTGAGCTGGTAGCAGGTCTGCCTTGGTCTTGGAAAACACATCAGCATAAGGGAGATATTCTTTTGGTAGCTTGGATGCCAGCAAAAGGTCTGATGGGTCCAGGTTGTCGTGCTCCTCAGCAGTGGGGCTTGAATTCTTGACTGGGAACTGTGATTCTTGAATCTTTGACTGAGAGTTCTGTTCTTGGCAAAGACTGTGAGCTGTGGAACTTGAATCTTGAATGTGGACTGTGAACTGTGGTACTTGAATCTTTGACTGTGGGTTCTGTGAACAAGAGTCATGGCCATGACTGTGAGCTCTATGAGCTCTACTTGAATCTTGACTGTGAACTGTGAACTGTGGAACTTGAATCTTGGCTGGGATCTGTGAGCTGCAGGCTGATACTGGAGCTGTCATTTGTGGTTGACCTTGGATACTAGGCTGAGAGCCTTGAATCAGGGACTTGAGAGCATGAGACTTGGAGGCTTGACTTGAGTTTTGGGTGACTGTTCCAATTGGTGGAGGTTGGACTTGACCAGTGACCCAATCAATGTCAGGGTTCTGGGCTTGCAGCCATGGTAATCCCAGGATGACAGAGAATGTGGGTGAGCCAAGATCCAATACTTCCAGGTTGACCATGGATGGTGGAAAGTCTTGGATGTGGAGGTTTAGCTTGGTTTCATGGCTGATTTCCTTGAACAGAGCATGATTGGCAAAGTGGACCTTGAGGGGTGTGGATTTCTTGATGGTGGGAATGGCACAAGACTTGGCAAGGGTGGCATCAATGATGTTGCAGGATGATCCAGAGTCGATAAGGGCCTTGGTTGTGATGGTTGACTTGGGTGAGAGTTGAATCTTGACATCCATGGTGAGTTGGTCGGGCTTGGAATCTGAGGTGTTTGTGGTGCTGGTGGTGGTGATGAAACAGGGGCAGCTTGGAGGAGGGTCCAGGGAATTGCCCCTCAGTGAGCCTGGACCTGGGGGTTTGGGTGCTTCTTCCTTGGGCAGTCCTTGACAGCATGCTCCTTGGAGCCACAGTAGAAACACAGTCCCTGCTGGGCCCTCCTTGTTTTCTCCTCTTGGCTCAGAGGACCCTTAGGAAGTGTCTCAACTGCATCCACTTGCATGGGTTCAGGAACTGTAAGAGCTTGAGGGGCTGGGGTAGGTCTTGATGTAGTTCCTACTTGTCTTTGCTTCAGCCTCTTGGAGTAGAGTCTGTTGTCAATCTTGATGGCAAGGAGAATGTACTCTTCCAAGGTCTCAGGGATGTGCAGAGACTGGGAGAGCATGTCTTGGATAGACTCATGGAGACCATCATGGTACAGCTCCATCAGAGCTGCATCATTGTATCCAGAGTCTCTGGCTAGTTGCTTGAATTGGTTGGTGTAGGCCACACAAGATTGCTTTCCTTGCTTGATATGCTTGAGCTTGGATCTTGCTGTCCAAGATGCGTAGGGGTCACCAAAGGTAGCTTCCAGCCCCTCCCAGAGCTCTTGCAGGGTGGTGGGTGTGCTTGGGAGAGATCTGTACCATGATTGAGCTTGACCAGACAGGAGGGTGCTTGTGAAAAGAACCTTGACTTGCTCACTTGGAAATCTTGAAGGTTGGAGAAGGATGACATTCTCCACAGTGGCCATGAAGTTCCTAAGGTCTTTGGCCAGCCCAGTGAACTTGTCAGGGCTGGGAACCTTGGGCTCTCTTGCTTGGTTGGCTTGAGGCAGGGGAAGAGCTTGATGTTCTTGTTGGTGAAGTTGTTGTTGAAGCTGGTGCTGCTGGTGAAGGACTTGTTCTTGAAGTTGGTGTGTCTGTCTTGAGAGGGCTTGTAATTGGTCCATCAAGGCTTGGAAGGCAGTTGCATCAGGGAAGGTGTTGTTTGGGTCAGACATGATGGCAGAGAGTAGTGGGAGAGGGTGAAGTGAATTATGATGTCAGGAACAGGGCAGGACAGGACAAGGCAGACAAGGAACTGAGAGGAGTGATGATTGTATTGGAAACAATAATTCACTTGAGGGATGGGACAGGTCCCCCATCCCCCTTTTATACCTTTTGAGAGTCTTCCTTGTCAAGACTCAAAGAAAGTTCCAGAAAGAGCAATTAGTAATACAATGATACCAATGATACCAATGACAACAAGACAAGTCAGGAAAGCAAAGAAGGTTCCAGAAGGTTCCACAAGGTTCCATGAAGGAATGTTCTAGAAGGTTCCAGAAGGTTCCAGAAGGTTCCATGAAGGAATGTTCTAGAATGTTCCAGAGGTTTCCAGAGGGTGATTCATAACACTGACAACCATCAGTAGTCAGTAGGTGCTACGGAGATTGCACTTTTGCAATGCTATGTTGACCCTCATCCAACC